CCTCTAAGACTCCGCAACGACATAACTACGAGATAATCCACGGTGTCCAAGGATTTCTTAACCCTGGGACACGACAATACATCGACTATAACTTATTTTAGTAAAGTACTTGTGAGATTATGCACGTAAGTGAGTTTAAATAGGAATTTGTTGTGTGCTCTTACTTGATGGGTATTGCGTTGGAGATATCTCTTTGCCAGGCCTGCTCGTATTCACCGCTCAGCAGTCGCTTGCGGGGATCCCCCGTGATGACGGCAGGTTTCGGGGCCGTGCACAGGGCCATCACCTTGACGCCCGTCAGGTTTACATGGTACTGATCACCATAGCAACGGGTCATAGCCGCGACGGCCTGCTTCGTGGCCGTGAAAACGGGCAGCGAAATGAGGGGGTTGATCGTCGGGCTGGCACCTGCGTTCACCACGATTCCCCCCGGCCCACCGCGATCCTTGCCTAAAAACCGGAAGGCCAGCAGGAGGCCTCGAATGACTCCATTCTAAAAAAGAAAGCGATGAAAAAGAAAGAATGGGGGAAGGGTGATCGCACCCTAATAGTATTCGTCATGACGTCGCGCAACGAAAATACTCGCAAGAAACTCACCAGATTTACGTCCACCTCGAGCTCCCACAGCCTGTCGTTCATCACCGAAGCATTGTTGATGACGATGTCGACGCCGCCCAACTTGGAGATGGTCGTCTGGAAGGCCTCTGCGAATTTGGAAACGATTCAAGGATGCAACGTTGCACGCTCTTGTGTTGATTATGTTACCTTCGAATTGTGGATAATCCGTGACATCGCAGGGACAGAAGATGACGCGATCTCGATCCTGCTTGGCCAGCACGTGGAGCAGATCCTCGCCGGCTTCGGTGTTGATGTCGCAAATGGAGATCTGCCAAAGGAACGACGCAAAAACTTAATTATAGTGAACGTTTCACCGGAGCGACGCTCGCTAGTATTCGAGCACGAGGAGACGGATAAGTGTTTTTTTTTTCCACTTACGCTGCATCCTTGTCTGAAGAGTTCCAAGCAGTACTCTCTTCCGTGGCCGGACGCGGCGCCCGTCACCAACGCCACCTTTCCTTTCAATTCCATTTCCATTTAATGATGAACAAAACAAAGGATTTCCTCTGGACGCAGGAGAACCGCAACGATGTGTTTCCTTTTTGCTTGTTGGTGAAACCTCTCGTCGCAATGCCGCGCCCTAAACTGACGGAGCGGCGTCGCGACGCGACGACGCAAGGGCTGCTTCATATATTTTAGGGAAGGATGAACTCACACGCATACACACCCATCCACCCGATGTATTTATATATATATTTACATGTGGGATCAAAAGAAAATGCATCTTTTACAAATATGTATTTATATACTCATAACCAGATGGTAAAATTACAATTACAAAGTTTCACAGAAAGGAAAAAATCTATATTTCATTGTTAGATATTATAAAATTAACAAATCGTAATTAAATCAAGTATTTTCATAAACATTCTAATTGGACGGAGATTAAATATTATTTTTATTTTATACATTCATCTCTCATTTGATTGCAGGATGATTATTTCATTGAGATAAAGATATTGCGTTCCATTGGATTATGATTATTGATATTAATCGAATGTACCGTTGTTGGTGTAATTGTTGGCATTCGAAATATGCATGGTACTGTCCATCCTGAACTCAGTCTGATCGTCGATCGAAGGATACTGTCGTTTCTTGTACAGTCCGTAACCGATGAGTCCGACGAAGAAGCACAAAGCTAAAGCTATACCAATCGGTGCTCCCACCGAGCTGACCATGTCCATGTCTTCACCCTGGACCGAAACGTCTGCCTTCAAGATTAATTCATCGTTCTCATTGATCTTCCGCATGTGGCAACTCCATTCACCGGCGTGTTCATCGTTCACGTTTATGATGGTGATACCGCAGTCCCCGTGCAACAGACCTCTTCCGAAGTACACCAACTCTTTCCCGTTTTTCTCGGACGTCGCGTGGTAAGTCTTGCCGCTGGGCGAAACGAACCAACAGTAATTCAACGGATACTCCGCGTTGCACATAATGTTGTACGGATGGTTCCTCCTCGCACCATCCTGATCGTAGCTGATCGACGCTTCCTTCGAAATAGATTTGACCTGAACGAATTATTACGTTTCAATACGATTAAGTTAAGTTTTCACTTCTCTCGCTCACGTGCACTTTGATTATCTGATTTTCGCTCGTCCTCGGTTTGGAGATGCGGCAAGTCCAAGTGCCCAATTCCACTTCGTCCATATCCATGAAACAAATTCCGTTTGTCAACTTTGTGTCGACGATGTTGAAGATTCTTCCGGACGGCGATTCGATGTGGCACGCTTCGATCAGATAGGGAACGGTGCAGGAAATTTCCAACTTATCGTTCTCGATGTACTGAATTTGCTCATTGGAATGTTGTTGAGCTTGAAAAAGAAATAGATACATCGCAAATTGTAGAATCATTCGTTCATAAACAACAATAATAATAATCTACTTACGTGTCTTCTGTTCAACGTCGATGAAGTTGCCGTAATCGAGCATCGTGCATTTCCATGTGCCGATTTCCTGTTCAGTCGCAGGTAAAGGAAACTGGAAAAATTGAACAAATTGAACATAAACTTACGTCTCTCTCAATAACACTTCGTTACTTCGATCTGACAAATTGGATCGTCTTGATCTAGCTGAGTGCCGACCGTGGTGTACCTCTCCGTCGCCGTGTGCAATGAAATCGTGTACAGAACATTATCCGGCGACAACATTTGGCAATACTTGATGTCTTTCTTCGGAAAGTTGTTCAGTTTGCAGCCAACGTGTCCGTAGCCTTTATCCTTCATGTACCACGAATCCACAGATAATCCATCTAAAAATATACAAATTCCAATGATTAGATTGACAATTTTGAGTCCATTGATTGATTTACGTTTCAATTTAAGCGTTACATTGGAGCTAAAAGGTTTTGGATTGTATATTGAGAAAGTCTTGAGGGTCCATTGACCGACGTGCTCCATCCGAACCACCGATATGTTGTATTCTGAATCTTCAGTTTCTACAACGAGTTCACCGTTTGGATCGTACAACTGCTTCAGGCCATCATCACCTAAACTAATAGGAAATGTTTCACCCAAAGCTACCATAAGCGTTTTATCGTCTAAATCCAAATCTGAAACGAAACAGAAAGAAACTTTTATCTCATCGCTTTCTTAATTGAGCTCACTTTGTATTTTTATGGTAAAATATTTGGAATTTTTAAAGTCATCGATGTCTGCATTCAAATAAATCCGTCTCCTTTCATCCGACGCCTGCACGTCCATCAATCTCACCCCGCATATTCCTCTTCCAAGACTGTACAGACGATTTTCGAAAATGTGATCACCCTAAGGAAACGATTACACATAACATACGTGTGTTTGATGATACTTTTTCTTTTCTTCATTATACTCACGGTCACCGTCTTTTCGGACATAATATCTATGGGAAAATAAAGATTTTCATTACTTTCCACTGAGTACATCAGCGTGCACGAAGAGATGTTATTTTCCGGCATCTGCACCGCTTCATATCGATTGAGGAAAGATCCGCCGAGACTGACCAACACATTTCGGGAGAGCAAATCGCTCTCTAAATATGCATTTATCGAAACTACGTTCAACAGAAGAAACGTGAAAATTATCATGATTGTAAATAATATTCAATGACGATACTGGAACGTTTCAAGCGCAAATACGCTGGCAAATCAAACAAACAAATTTATATAATTTTATCAGCAATTTTTCCATCCAATATTATTACAATCGAAATATGTAATCGTTATTTCATATCATGTAATATTTCAATTGATATGATAATTTTTTTTTTTTGCAAACATTTATTATCGTATTTTCGTATTTATTTTTGTTACAGACTGCTCACTTAGTCTTGTTATCAGGATCGCAAACATTTCGTATCATGAATTCGCTGCAATGGTTGGTCTTATTTGTATACTATGTCAAGCCTATAGGTATACCAATTTTCTTTGTAGAAGATATCAACAAATTTGTTCTCAATCTTTCCATCGATTTGCAGTTACGATCGAGACGTACGATGGTGATAGTTTCATCAATTACGTGACCGTCGGAAAGGACGAAACGATACTGCGATGCGACCTGGTGATTGGTAATAAAACCGCGAGCATAAATGTGCACTCCAGTTCTGCGATTCAGGTAAATTTGCTTTAAATAATCGTAACTCAAAATTGAATTGTTGCAATACGCAGGAAGACTTCTACGATGGAAGATTGTATGGTATAGGCAGAGGAATTTGTGGTTTCAAAGTGGTGAGAGCATCTCTGAACGATCCGAAGGAATTGGCTTTTAATGTAACCACGAAGATCGCCTCGAAACCGCCCGTCACGTTCACGCATGATTTCCAAGTCACAGTCAAAAGTAAAAAAAAGCCTCCATTAGTGTTGAATAATATTTAATTTTGTTTGCGTGCAGAAACCAAAAATAATCCAATTGATAACTATGAAATAGACCTGACCAAGCGATTCGATTACCACTATTCAATCTATCCATTGTCTGAGCGCGCTACATCTTGCAAAATTTACAGACCTTCCGGAAAATTGTTGATTGAAGACGAGAGGTGCATGTTTAAGATCGAACGACTTACTATGGAAGACGTAGGTCAATGGACCGTGGAATTCGCGTTGAAGAATTCGATGAAGCCGATGCGCGTACATTTTAATACCATACTGAAGGGTTCATTTAGCAGAAAGTTGTTGAAAGTGAATTAAATTGCTTAATGTGAATTGTTTTAGAGGTGAATGTACAAGGAATGTGGTACAAAGAGATGGATGGATACGGACTGATCGGATGCAGTACACCAGTGTTTAATGAATTCTACGATAAATGCATTTTCACGAAACCGGACAAAAGCATCTTCGTGCTAACGGATACCTTTGCTTCGGAGAGGTACGTGGCGATTGGAAGTAATTTAGCAGGCGGAATTGCACAGATCCAGGTACGAAATTAACAGGCAATAAGTTAACGATTTGCAAATTTAAATTTACTTGCAGCTGAAACTGCCGCTAATGAAGTCGGAAATCGGACGATGGTCGTGCCAGTTTAACGATAAGATCGGCGAGTTCATCGACGTTGGGCCGCCATCGAGAGCGAGGCGTGGAGCATCGCAGAGTTACGGAAAACGTATCAAGAAAATGATCGATCTGGGAAAACCGTTCGAAATTCTGTGCTCCGTGCCTCATCCTATTGATAATTGCTTTATCAAAGAACCCAACGGTACCATACACAATATGGACCCAACGAGTACGAACGCTTTAGGTGAATGCTTACACAAAGTCGAAAGTGGCAAGGAAGAGGATAAGGGCGTTTGGACGTGTTTTCTATCGAATCCGGACAACATCGAAGACGACATGATCATCACCGAGGTAAACGAAACAAGTGATTGGAAAAGTAATGAAAGTACTGGTGATTTCAAGTGCAGGTCGAGATTTCCAATGAGCTGGAAACGAGCAACAAACAGCTGGACGTGCTTGTAGGCGACAGCGTCACGTTTCTGTTCAAACGTCACAATCCCATCGATACGTGCTACTGCAAGGGTCCTGCAGGCGCAACGTATTTCCTATCGGAGACGAAGACCGAAGGTAACATTGTGTACCAAGGTAAAGGGTTGCATGTTGGAGAATGCGGGATGAGGATCGAAAAAGCCGAAGCGGAGCACGACGGTGTTTGGGAATGCTTCAGCAAGATTCACGATGAGAACATCTACAGCTCCCAGATAAGACTCACAATTATCCGTACAATGCACTTTTTGCTATACATTCCGTGTGATTAAACTCGAGCATTTTCAGATCAAATACTAAGAGGAATATCCATCGGCGTTCCTGTGGGCATCTCCATTGCGGCACTAGTCATCATCATTCTTATCGTTTACTACTGGTACACGCAGAGAAGAGAGCGAAGAAACGTGGAGCAGGAGAATCGGTCCAGTTTGTCAAGCGAGAACAGCGACACTCTCTTCATAATCAACTCACCGTTTCAACGCAATTGAAAACCTGTAATATTTACAATGATTATAATGTTACAAATATATTATTGATATAAAATAGTCCCAAAATAACTTCTCTTATCGTTCGCTTGAATAAACAAGTCGCGATGACATTGCTGGTCGTTCCAGTGCATAATCAACTATTCGCGATGTTAAGATGTGTAAACTTAATTGTGTTGCTGTTGCTGGGAAATGATTTGATCCGATTTGCGGACTGCGGAGGGAGACTTTACGTGGATTCGTCGGTGTTCATAGCACCGGGTGGTAGCTTCGTCAATTACGTAATATTCGATGATCAAGAGCCGTTAACGAGATGCGGCCTTTCGTTTCAGACGAATGCGGATATTTCACCAATCGACATCACCAAGTCGATGGTTCCCATACACGTACGTATTCAAAACAAATACATAACTTCACCATGAACTATCTAATGTTGGAAGTTGCGTGCGATTAGAATGATTCTGTTTTGAAGAATCGTATTTTCAGCTTAGGCAAAAACACGTGCGGCTTCAAGCTGATCAACTCGATGAAAGATGATCCCAGATTCTTCACGTTACATGCTTACAGGAACGCATCGTCTGGTCACTCGCAGTATTCATTCAAGTTGACGTTTTTTGGTGAGAGAATTCGATGATTGAGCTATTGAGTTTATTGTAGTTTCGAGCGTTTGCAGAAAAAGCGAATCCGAGGAACGAGACGAAGAAGGTTTCGCTTGGTGAAAGGTATGAGGTGAAATGCGGGATACCGAGAATCGAGACGACGTGCATACTTTACGATCCGTCCGGAAGGAAGGTTTCCAGCGGAAATTCTTGCTCGTATCTTTTGGAGAGAGTGAGAATGGAGCACATCGGGATTTGGCATTGCGACGTCGGTATCATGCAACGAATGCTGCCTGTTACAGAATATTTCGTCCTCGAGTTGATAAGTACATTTTCTCTTGCTTCAACCTTCAACCTTTAGTAAAAACGTATTTCAGGAAGAGAATGGGTAAAGACTTGGTACAAGGAGAAGGATGGACTCGGCATCGTTGGATGCAAGCACATGAACGACTTCGTCTTCAACGACATCAACAATCTGCAACCGCCCACGTATTGCCAATTTATTTCACCAGAAGATAAACTGTTCACGATCAAACAAGGCGCCGCAACGGACAGATACACGACGGCGGGAACGAACCTCTCCGATTTCACATGCCAATTAGAGGTAATGTAATAATCGTCAAATCTTATTATTGTAAATTGTTTCGTTGCAGTTTGCTCTACCGATCCAACCGCAAGAAATTGGCCTGTGGAAATGCAAGATCTACGGTAGCGGAGGTTTCATCTCCGTAAAGAATGCAACTCGTAAGTCGTCACATGATTATTTCAATCGTAACAGCGTAATTCAGTTCCAGAATATCCCAAAAAGTTAATAACCGCTATAGAGGAGAACAAACCGTACGAAGTATCCTGCATCGTGCCGTATTCCATCGATTACTGCTACATCGAATCACCTCAAAAAAACTATTATTACATTGACGACGTGAAGAGTTTATCGCAGGGCAACTGTAGCAAACTCTTGGAGCGAGATCATCAAGTTATAGGAAAATGGTATTGCCACATTTCCAAGTACGGAAGCATCGATGATGATGTTATCGAAGTCGATGTAAATGATTGAATTAAGTGCAGCACACATTTCAATAACTTTCGTTTCGTTTAGGTGCGAATCAAGAAGAAGTTCAGTGCAGTTTTTAGCGATGTTCAGGTTGAGATCGGTGATTCCCCGGAGGTTTTGTGTAAACACGAGAACCCTTTAAGGTCGTGCAGATTTGTGGATCCCAGTGGGAAGAAAATCTACCATTTGAGCGAGAGGAAATCTGGAGAAAGAATCGTTTATTTTGGACGCGGTTTGGACTTTGGAGATTGCGGCTTCTTGCTGAAGAACGTCACCAGCAAGGATCAAGGAACATGGACTTGCTACGGAAGGGAACTGGATTCCGAAAGAGAACTGTCGGACATCACTTCTGTGAAAATTGTTTAATGAAATATTCAGATTCAATGATCAATAAAACTCTTCTTGTAAACGCAATTACCTCAAAACTGTTTCTTTTCAGCTTTGGATTTTGGTATATTTTGTAAAGTGCATTTGAACATTTCTGCTTACTACAATTTGCTTACGCTTACGCACATTTCCAAGTACGGAAGCATCGATGATGATGTTATCGAAGTCGATGTAAATGCTTGAATTAAGTGCAGCACACATTTCAATAACTTTCGTTTCGTTTAGGTGCGAATCAAGAAGAAATTCAGTGCAGTTTTTAGCGATGTTCAGGTTGAGATCGGTGATTCCCCGGAGATTTTGTGTAAACACGAGAACCCTTTACGGTCGTGCAGATTTGTGGATCCCAGTGGGATGAAAATCTACCATTTGAGCGAGAGGAAATCTGGAGAAAGAATGGTTTATTTTGGACGCGGTTTGGACTTTGGAGATTGCGGCTTATTGCTGAAGAACGTCACCAGCAAGGATCAAGGAACATGGACTTGCTACGGAAGGGAACTGGATTCCGAAATAGAACTGTCGGACATCACCTCTGTGAAAATTGTTTAATGAAATATTCAGATTCAATGATCAATAAAACTCTTCTTGTAAACGCAATTACGTCAAAACTGTTTCTTTTCAGCTTTGGATTTTGGTAAAGTGCATTAAACATTTCTGCTTACTGTAATTAATTGTTGCTGCTTTTGAAAACTTGTGGCTTTAAATTGGAAAATTCAAAAAAATTGATAGTTCGAGGCGGTGGATGCACAGATGTCTCTGCAGGTCATTGTAGAACTGCTGCTGCTGCAGATGACCTGGTGTAGGGGGCGCTGAGCTCGGCGGCTCTGGCAGAGTGCATATGTCAAAATTGTGTTTTTTAGTGATTGTGTACTTTCGTGTCAGTCTAGTTTTGTCGGTGCTGGCGTTTATTAATTTATCGATAATTGTTTCGTGCACGGAACACACGAGGATGTGGCCGGTATCGCGGCTCGCTTGATCGCAGCAAGTGTCGCTGAAGAGGTGCCCCACCAAACTATATACCGAGTGCCCATCACCAATCAAGAGCTCGTTCCAATTGGAAAATCATGGAGTTATAATGGATTGAAGGAGGAAGCAGCGACGGTTTGGGCTCAGAATTCGCGCCGGTTGCAGGGAAAAGAGTATACAGTTTCAACTACAGCAGACTAGATCAGCCAGAGAACATCAATATAGTCCTCTGCAGCAGGTGAGTCTGAATATCCCACGCTATGCCATGGTCTCTCTACCTACAGGATGCAAACATAGACATAACACATACAGAGAGAGAGAGAAATAATTCTATTTTCTACTTCTTCGCCAAAGCCTTGCTTTCTGTACGCCCACGCTTCTTCTTCATCTTCGAAATGGGCGTTGCATGTCTAGAAACAAAACTCTTAGGCGATGACACTCTTGATACCAACGTCTCTTGTTGTTATGTAACATCAACTGTTTACGTTTGCGGAAACTGGCCTACTCCGAACTGATCCAGGAATTCCGCCGCACTCTCCGTGCCATTGAAATTACGTCTTTGTTTTGATTATATCGACGAATTTCTTGTTATTTGGAGTCATTATTTTTAGATCGCTCCCGAGAGGAGAATTCGATATTGGAAACTACAATGCATTCACAATATCGAACCTCTCTGGATCTACCAGCGAATGCAATTTTCGATTTAACCAGATTTGCATTCATGCAGAAAAAATGGTAAATTGATTCATTTAAGAATGAAAACTCTTAAACAAATTCTAATGGAAAATCTATGATAACTATATTACAAGTATAGTATAAATGTTTAATTAAAAGTAGGTATGTTTATTATTTATGTTGCACATAAATTTTAAAAGGAAAATGTGCTTTGTTCGATAGTACAAAATATTGATTGTGATCATAATCTAATCGCTCTAATTATAAATTACTTCCAGATCTCATCTCGAAATGCAATAACGAAACTATCTGTCCGTCGATTTTAATTGATGTCCAACGTCTATTTTTATTGGACATATTTCGTAGTTGCTTAATTTGCTCGAGCGAAAAATATATGATGCGAATGCGAGAAAAAATATGATTTCAAGCAAGCAAAATTTCCAACCAGAGTCCAATCATCTTATATCACGAGCAACGTCATTCCATATTTTGCTTTAAATTGCAATCTGAGTACCTTCCGCCAATCTCATCTCGTTTCGACGATGCAAATTGCGCTTCGCTTTAATTACGGATCGAATCGAATAATTATGTTCCGGCTGCTGTTGCAGTAAGTGGCATTCGTTTTAATTGGAAATGAACGTGCAGAGTGCAACGCGTGATTGTTTCAGCCAAATCGTTTTATTTCTATCCCGTTCCAATCAAAGTGCTACGTGCATTTTCCACACGTGATATTTCCATATTACGAAATTGGATAACGGGAGGAACGTGTTTTCTTTCGGCAGTCGATTCCAATTTGAAATCTCGTATTCGTTTGCATTTGGAACCTCGAGCTTTTGTTGGGTTTCCTTGATAGGTATTTATTTTACCACATCATTTTTACGCAATAAGTTTGTTGCAGTTGCGAAATTCATAAAGAATAATTGGAATGCCAGGTAAATATTGTGCATGTTTGATTTGTCGACTGCCGCTGGATTAGCTTTAATCCGGGATAAGCAATCTGTTTGTATGCTTGAATATAGTTGGATTATTAGTTTATTGATAATCCGATATGAATCACGTTAGCTGAATCATCTTCAAACGCTCGATATATTCCGAATGGCCACTACTGTATTCATAATATTGATATTGAATTAATTAAATCTACTATTTGGAAACTTAGTGGAAAATTGTTGAAATTGTAAACTCTTAAACGTTTCATTTTTATTTGCAGGTTTCTCGTGATTAATGAAGTTTCTATTTTGATTAAGCGTAATTAATATGTTCAAGTCTACATTCTATTTGTTGTAACGCATGGTTTATGATTTAAGATAAGATGAATGAAGTGTAGGTGTGAGGATTAGCGAATGGAAATCAGACAGTGACAGTTTTTAGCGTATTTATATTTTGGTTTCTGCGTAATCATAATATTGCCGTTCGAGACTGAAAAGAAGAGGAGACGTGGCAAATAAACCGTTCGTTTGTGTGTTTCAAAAGATATTCGGGGCAGAGAGTTATTTTCGTGTTGTCGTCTTCCACTAGGTCAAGCGGCGCGACGTCGTCGTAGTCGTGCGGCAGTTAAGCGTCTTTTACGAGAAGACGGATTAACTAACTGTACGCATTCGCTGCCCACCTACTTGAGAAATGAACCAATTCTTCGTTTGCGTATTCGGAAAATCACCTATTACGTGCGTTTTTTTTTTAAATTAGGCTAGACTTTGTTGGTATTTGTGTAACGAATTGAGATACACACGCACGATTTCAATTAAATAAGATTAAATCAGATAAAAACATTATCGGAATGCCATTGCCTTATATAAGTGTGGATTCACACTTCCACTATTGTGGAAAAGATTAATAGAGAGTGAGCTTTCTTTTCCAGTTTGATTTCTGTAATAGTGATGAGGAGATGTGCTTTCCTCGAGCGAACCTGAGATTTAAAAATACCACCTTTGACTAATGGGCTGGTCGGTCATGAATGAGGAGCCGTGTTTATTGTTTATGGCAATTCCGTTGAAATTTTATTTATAGTGAGAAGCTGAATGGAGAGCGAATAGAGAGAGAGAGAGCAGCGTCGCGACGCCGCAGGAATTTCGCAAACTCCGTTCGTTTTGCGTGTGTTGTACGCTATACGGATAGTGACTAACCCCGTGGGAGCAGTCGCCCCAGTCAACTTGGACTTTGCCCCCCCTCGCGTATCCAGTTTAGTTTCGTTTTCTTCAAAGCTTTTTTCCCCTCGCCAGACTTTGAGCATCGTCTTCTGGTAGTTGTCATCGTGTAATGTTGATATGCAGACGATTGCGGCGTGAGTATTTGGGAGACGATACGAGAGTGTGTTGTACTTGAACTAATTTTAGAATTGGAGCGCGTCCCCTTTGGGCACCAGGAAACGTACGTCGCCCGGGTTGCGTAACCCTGGCAATTCAAGGGAAATTCTTTCGGACGGCTTCAAGCCAATTCTCTCCTCCTCCTCCTGATCTTCCCAATTAAAAATATCAATTTCGTAATGAGTCGGCAACGCCAGAAAAAGAAACGCCTTTCTGCCCACTTCGCTGTCGTCGCCGTCTCAGATTCATTCGTTTCGTTTTCCACATTATCATCATCGCTCTGATGATTCACAGATTTTCATCGATTTCGCCCCATATAAATATGAATCATTTAAACTAGAACGATTTACTCGAAATGGTTGTCAATGTAGTGAATATGGTAAAAAGCAATTGAATCTTTTCAACTTCATAAAATTAAATTGGATGACGCGCAAATGATTATGATATGTCTATTTTTGGTTCTCCACGATTAATTAAACACCTAAAATTAATTATTAAACTTGTGGTCTCAACGATTACGATCTGCCGCATTTTCTTGTTATTAAGCAATTAACTAACGTCGCTATGTCGCTATTTCTCTCCATCTCTATTATTCTAATTTAATGTAATTATTATTAGTTTTTTTTTTTTCCAATTGCAAGTGGAAATGTTAATGCATATTATGCCGAGGTCACATTCCTTGTAATTAAGTTAAAAATAGTTGATAATGGTTTATGGATTCGCATGCATTAATTGAGGTGTTTTTTTTGTTTGTTTCTTTTCTATCTCACTCAATTGTTCTATTGTTTTTTTTTCTTTTGTTTTCAAATTATAACCTATTTAGGATTTCTAAGCAGCAATAATTTGTTGTTTCTCGTATAATTAGTTTACAGAAACATTAATATCCAATTAGTTTTTATAGTCCATATTTCATTCATTCGTTAAATATATTTATTAAATTCTATGTAAAACTCGCAGCAAAACTTTCGAAACGCTTGAATGTTGTGGAAAGGTGAGATCCTGCGTTTAATAATCTATGAATGTTAATATTTATGTATTTTAGAGATGAAGCGTATATCTTTTAGTTGATGTTTGTGAACAGATGCAGAAATTTAACCAATTTGTTCACGTTGTGTTTGCAATGAATTGTTGTAGGATCCGGATGCTGCGCATCTAATAGATTTGATAAGTGACGGAGAGTTTCCTTTTGAATTCGTCATTCTTATAGTTTCACGCCATTCATTTCGTTTTTTTTTTTTGCTTTGTCGTTATGCCAAATGTGCTCGAAGCTCTCAGAAATAGAGCAAAATCTCTGTCGCAACGGTGATGACGTCCATGAGATTATTGTCATCGAAACGATGAGTAAAAAGTGTATTCACTACATATGCAGTCTTGATCAGCAAATTTAATTGAATCAATCATCATTTTTTTTTTCAATTCGCATTGAAAGCATGTTTATTGTTAATTCTGCATTAACGAAATGAAAAATGCAGAATTTCGATTACTTTATTAGAAATCAAATGAATACGAGCACTACTGTGATTATTTGCTGTTTTTAGGAAATATTTGTTGTTATGACAAATTGCAAAGTTTATCGAGGGATGGAAAACTGTGGTGTCTAATTGGATCGTCTGAAATTATTGACTGGGAGAAGAGGAAAGACGACTCGTGTCCCAATTTAATTTGCGTTTACCCGATGGGGATCGGAGGAACAGAACAGTGATTCACGAGTGGAGAAGGAAAATGAAGAAAAGAAGGGACGTTGTCCATCGAGAAGGAAGGTTTATTGAGTTTCTAGGACATTCGGTGCGCAGAGATTTCAACTACTACGGGAATGGGGAAGAGGAGTTTTGTCCCAGTTTTGTGCACCGACTGGGCTGGGTCGGGCCACTGAACGGAGGAGGATGTGCATCGAGCGGGGGTCCGTTCCCATGGCTCGATGCACTTGCAACTAGGTCGATGGCGTCGCGACGCACCGCCCTTACATATGACCCCCCGACCCGACGTCGTTCCTCTCTCTCTCTTTCTCACCCCAGCCATCATCGATCGATACACACATTTCATACATGAAACACACACACTCTTTAACTTCATTCAGCTTCACACCTGATGTAATAATCTGCATCCCTCAAGGATAATACGTAAAAACAACCAAAGTTGCATCATCATCATCAATATTACTATTAAAGTAATCTTGAATTCAACTATACTTATCAATAAAACATTGAGGTTTCGTCTAAGATTTGCAAAACGCATAAATAACGGGAGCGCTTCAAAAAAAAGATTAATGTTTGACCTTTGTTACGTATGTAATGGTATTTGCTAAATGCATAAACACGCGCGCGCTTATGTTTTCCAGCGATGTGCTAATATTTGGGAAACATGCGAATTCTTCTAATTGAAAAATGCAACAACGAATAGTAGTAGCAGAGCCCGAGCGATAAATCCATTCCTAGGTTTTCGTTTTCTCCTGAATAATGGATGGTCATTTATCTTATCGTGGTTTGTTTTCTCTTTTTTTTTTGTTCTACAACGATTTGCCATTGCCATTATTGTAAGTCATTACGTTATGCACTTGGGTACGTGCAAAATTTATTGCTTCACGATCGAGCATTGCTTTACGGATTTACCAGGAGTCCGTCGTGATTTATGGGTGCCCCGAAGCTAGGTCATTATGCGACCGATTGGATGAATTGCAATTTTTGTTGTTGCTTCGAAGTAAAATATGATTTATCGTTTTATTCAGGTTCATCAAAGTTATTTATTATATAATACACAAGTTATTATATTATACCAACGTATCACATTTGATTATCATTGTTTTAAAATATTATTTTGCACGATTTAACTGATTTGAATACTGAAATTGGACGGAAGAAAACATATTAAATTTAAAAAAAAAATAGTGTATTTTTTCTACGATATGATAAAAGCGACTTTGGCACAGTGTTTATTTTTACGAAGCAGTGCAATTCGTTCATAAATACGATAGAATAGAATGTTTGGATGTTGAGAGATATTATTGGTATGGAGCGTAAATTGGAGGTAAATTATTTTTGTTTTACTTGCAATGGTTATGATGGATCCAAGACTTGCAGGGATATTGATTTTTAAATGGAGCTACAAAGTAAATATTAAAGAATATATGGGTCGTATCTTGTATAATACAAATGCCATTAAAATTATGGTCGATCGATTAACTTTATTATTGCTGTAAGTCGATCGAAGTTGTCTTGATAATGTAATGTACGGTAGTTGGAGAGATGGATAGTATTTGTAGACGAAGGAGTTGCGTAGCGGTGCATTATTTGATTTTGCGGAGCGGATAGGGCGAAATATATGATATGATGATATAATGTAATAGCGGGACGCGCAACTGTACAAAGTGCTCCGTAATTCACGCGCTGCATGCCTCTGTTGTAGCTCGTTAAATTCATTACGTGTTTATTGTTTCAGGTCACTATGCATAGGAGTCTGAACATAGGCGGAGGCGGCGCCCACATGAGGGGCGGCGTCTACGACGGCAAAATCGCAGGCCTCTACGACCTGGAGGAGACACTCGGTCGTGGACACTTTGCCGTCGTCAAGTTGGCCAGGCACGTCTTCACCGGCGAGAAGGTTGCAGTCAAGGTCATAGACAAGAGTAAACTGGACGACGTGTCCAAAGCGCATCTGTTCCAAGAGGTACTCCAGCTCGTTACTCGTTGCGTTATCATCGATTATCGTATTATGTATTTTAGGTGAGATGCATGAAGCTGGTGCAGCATCCGAACGTCGTGCGATTGTACGAGGTCATCGACACGGCGACGAAGCTCTACCTGATCTTGGAACTGGGAGACGGCGGCGATTTGTACGATTACATCATGCGCCACGACACCGGCTTATCCGAGGTGCTGGCTCAGGAGTACTTCAGGCAGATCGTGCGCGCCATCACCTATTGCCATCAGCTGCACGTCGTCCACAGAGATCTGAAGCCCGAGAACGTGGTGTTCTTTCAGAAGCTGGGCGTAGTCAAATTGACGGACTTTGGGTTTAGCAACAAGTTCTGTCCCGGCCAAAAACTGGAGACCAGCTGCGG